GGCAAAGCTTTTGCTGCGGGTTTTCCCCCCCCCGGCCTCCCGCCGACAGCCCCAAACATGCTTCGATCCATGCGGTTTCGGTCCCTCTCACCCGGGAGCGGCAGCACAGAGTCCAGGCTGGTCTGTCTCGCGGGGGGGATGGCTCTTCGGGTTGGCACGGCACGGCCTGGCACGGCGGGAGGGGCGCAGGTCTGGCTGGCACCGCTGGCACTGCCCTCGCAGGGAGCCCTTTCCTCGCTCCAGCCCTTCCTGTCCCAGCGCTGTTGGGACCACCCGGCTCCGACCCCGGCAGGGCCACCCCGCGCGGGGTCAGGGCCACCCCACGAGGGGTCAGGGCCACCCCACGCGGGGTCAGGGCCGCTGCCGTGGCCCCGTGCCGCGGTGCCTCCTGCCTGCTCTTCCCACGGCACCGGCCGCTGCTCCTCGGGCAGCTCGGGGGGGCTCCACGCCGCGGTCACCCCGAGCTGCCCGAGGTGCCACCGCGGCGCGTCCCTGCCTGTCCCCGTGGCCGAAACCCTGGGCCGGCCACGGGCTCCCCACTGCACCGCTGGCCCTGCCCGCTGCCACCCCGGCCCGGCGCCTGTGCCCTCTGCGGCCCCGCGAACGCCCTGGGAAGGGCACATCAAGCGATTTACAGGCCAGACTCTCTGGGAGAACAGAAAAGAGGATGTATTTCATGCAACATTCCTTGTCCGGGGGCGTGGCGGGGCCGGGCGCGCCGGGGCGGGGCGGGAGCGGGCGGGAGCCTCTCGGCTCCTCGCCCTCAGTGCAGTGCTCAGAGTAGAAAGAGAATCCAAGTGGGTTTTATTGGCCTGGTAGAAACGCCCCCCCTTCCCGCGGCGGCTCCGGCGAGGCCGGCGCTGCCGGGGACGGTCAGCTGTCCACCAGCTGCTTGAGCGCCCGCTCAATGTTCATCCGGTGCCCCACACGGGTCACCCCCAACTCCACGAAGTCCTCCTTGGTGAGGGCGGGCAGGTGAGTGCCCTCGATCTCGTGGTCCTCGAACTTGTCGCGGTGCTCCACCAGGTTGATGCTTTCCAGCCAGTCCCCGACGTCGTACTTGTTCCACAGGTGGAGGGGTTTCTGCATGAAGGGCCGCGGCGGGTGCAGGGTGTGCAGGGGCGGCCCCGGCGACGGCGACGGGGACGGGGAGCGGCTCCGGGCGCTCACGCTCCGCACCACGAAACGCACCTCCTTGGGCTCGTGGGGGATGGAGAGGCTGGAAGATTTGAGGATGGTGGGGGGGGTCAGGCCGTAGGGCCGGACGGTGCTGAGGGGCTCTGTCCGGTCCAGAGCCGGCTTCACGGGGCTGGGGGTGCGGCGGGTGACGGGGTAGCGACTGCCAGGTCGGACTGTGTAGGTGGTCCCGGAGCTCCGCTGGGAAATGGTGCTGAGTTCTCCTAAACTACTGAAAAGTCTGCGGAGAGAGCGGAACAGCGAGAGAGAGAGAGAGAGAGAGAAAGAGAGAGAGAGGAGAAAGAGAGAGAGAGAGAGAGAGAGGAGAGAGAGCAGAGGGCAGGGGTGAGGCCAGGTCCGGGCACGGGGGCACACACACAGTACACGGGGAGGGGCTGCTGGAGGGCTGGGAGGGGGTCACAGCGCAGGACGCGGCTCGGAGCGCTCAGCCAGGACATCCTGCCCGGGCTGGGCAGGAGGAGCCACCAGAGGTTTCAGCAACGCCTCCAGGATCGTGATTCCTGGCCAAACCTGCCCTAAAAATGTGGATCTGCACGCCCCCCCCCCCCCCCCCGAGACCGCCCCCCCCCAGAGCCTGCCCCTCATCCTGACAGGGACCACCAGCCCCCCCGGGCTGACCCCAGTCCCACAAGCACTGGGAGCAGCCCAGTGCTCCCCAGGACAGGAGGGAACCTTCTGGCATCTGCCCCGGGGTGGGAGGACCCTCAGGGCACCCCCTGGGTGGAGGTGGCAGGTTGGTGGTCACCTGGGGTGGTCAGTGGTGGCCAGGCCGGTGTCCCCCTGGCACTGTGCCATGGTGGACCCCCCAGCTGATGCCCCCGTGCTGTGGGGAGCACTGGTTGTGGAGAGGGACCCCCCTCCCTCCCCCCCCAGCACTGGGCTCTGCACTCTGAGAGTCTCTGACAGGGACAAATCCCCCTTCCCCACCACGTGTTGTCCCCCTGCCATTGCCCCCTTCTGCCATCACATCCCTGACAAAAACATGGACCCTGGGAATGTGAAAGGAAACAGAGCTAAAACTTGGATGCTGGAGGATGAATCCTATGAACTGTGAGTCTTCCTAGTGCCACAAGGCAGGGATAGGTGGGATACTGGGAAGGAATTCCCACCTGGGAGGCTGGGGAGGCCCTGGCCCAGGTTGGCCAGAGAAGCTGTGGCTGCCCCTGGATCCCTGGAAGTGTCCAAGGCCATGCTGGAGCAACCTGGGATAGGGGAAGGTGCCCCTGCCCATGGCAAGGGGTGGAACTGGGTGGGCTTTAAGGTCCCTTCCAACTCAACCCATTCCAACCTATCTCCTATCCTATCCTATCCTATCCTATCCTATCCTATCCTATCCTATCCTATCCTATCCTATCCTATCCTATCCTACTACTGTCCAAGCACTGTCACTTCACTTGTCCTCCCAACTAACCCATAATATTCCTGCACACTGGTGTAGTGTGGTGCCTCAGTTTCCCTCAGTCTCCACGCTCTGCCTCCCATCCCAGCTCCCTCCTGGAATGGATGGGCACTCTGGAATCCTGCTGGCAGCACCAGGAGTCTGAGGGCTACAATCCCTGTTATCAGCCAGTGCCACCAGTGTCGCACGGTGCCAGATCCTCATTTTGGGGACATTTCTGAGCTCCGACGGTTCCTCACAACGATGGCCCTGGGGAGATGAGCTGAACACCACTGCAGGTCCATAGGCTGAGGCACACTCCCTCTAATTCCCGTTTCCCTGCCTCCCTGGCACAGTGGAGGAGGGCTGAGAGGCAGCAGGACGATGAATCACCTTCGGGAAGCTCCAGCAAGGAAGAGCTGAACGTCCTTGAGGGCTCGAGCGCAGACAGGGAAGGAGAAGTGCCAGGACAGGACGTGGCCATGTCCCATCCAGAGCCCATCCAAGGACCTTGGCTGCGTGGGAAGTGATGGAGAGAAGGTTTTTAATCTGCTGGAAGACCCAAAGGCACCAGCCATGGACAGGCCAAAGAAGCACTGCATGCTCCAAGGTGGGTGTCTCTCCCAGAGCCAGGGATGCACTGACGTTGCTGCACTCCCCTTTGGAATTCTGGGCACACTCAGTGCCAGGAAGGTGAATGGAAGGGGCAGCAGATGTGGCTGGTCAGGTGTCACCTGCAGGTCCATCCTCCTCTCTGGAGCACTGGCTGGGGCCTGGCCATGCCCTCTGGAAGTGTGTCCCTGGTCCCTTTGGCAGCGCTGCTCTCCAGCCTGGGATCAGGCAGCTGGACAGACCCTGGCTCCAGTAGCCTTTCCAGATATCCAGAGTTAACTCCTCAGGGACCACCAGACAAATTACTGGTTCGCTTCCTGGGCTGCTGCTATCCCAGCCCTCAGCTTTCCCAGGCTTCATGGGTCCTATGGAATCATCCTATTCTCCTCGAGGCAACGAGTCCATGCAACGGAGCTCAACGAGACAGCGGAGCTCTTCCTCCGCTTCCCGTTCCTGGTGTGTTTTCCAGGCCCTCAGGAAGGTGGCAGCCATGAGGGAGTGGGAGTGGCATTGCTGGTGCTCCAGGTTCCTCCAGGAGCTGGGATGTGGTAGCTCCTTCGGTCGGTCTCCGAATATGTGAATCCCAGTCCTGGCAGCTCCCGAGCTTGGCAGCAGCGGATCATTCCCGGGATTGCTCCTTTGGTCCAAAGGAGCCTTTGGAAAGGCAGCAGAATCATAAAAAAGGGAGCTCAGGTCTCACAGGAAGCAGATCACAAGCAGAGAAACTCCGGCTGATGGAGAGGGAAGTTCTATCCGAAGGAAAAGGGATTATGGGCTTGCAGGACGGATAATTGGGCCTTCTGGGAATGCCGTTCCTGGAGGTGTTAAGGAGCCGATCTCTCCAATGAGTCATTAAGGGATGAAGAGCCTTCCTTTGAACTCCACATCTCAGTCTGAGCATCTCCAAGAGCTGCAGAGGCGAGGGCAGGCTCGGCACCGGGGGTACCGCGCTCCGAGTGCTCCCAGGGGAATTGTTTCCATATTCCTCGGCAAGGTTTCTGTGCTGCTGCTCTGGCGCTCCAGGATGGCCCTCAAATTCCTCAGACCTGCCTGGAGGACTCATCTCTTGGGTGACAACTCTTGCTAACGAGGAGCAAGGCATGAAGTGGCTCCCGTGATTCCCAGCGTGCTCCCAAAGGCTCCCACACGGAGCTGGGTGCCACCTGTGACACATCCTGGCTGAGCTTAGGGATGGGAATTCCCAAAGACTGTGACGTGGAGCTCAGCATGGCCACATCCAGGCTGACCTGGGGGCCAGGGGTTCCCAAAAGCTCCAGTGTGGAGCTCGGTGCTGTGACCACGTCCAAGCTGAGCTTGGGGCCAGGAATTCCCTTCTCCACCATCCTCTGGGTCCGTGAGTTCCGGCGGTGGAGGATCCACAAAGACCTCGACATCACTCAACATCACTGCCAGCAAGGACGTGCAGAGCCCCGTATTCCAGGTCTTTCCCATTCCACACACTCCAGGACCACTGGGTCCCTTCCAATCCAATTCCTGTTTTGCTGGAGCTGCCCCCTGGCAGAGTCCTCCATGAGGGTATGGAATGACAGCTTGAGCTGACAGACCTTCTTCCAACCTTCCTATGGACTTTCCCGTGGACCTTCCTCCACCCTTCCTCGCTCACCGCACCATCCCACAGACTCCAGTAGGATCCAGGGGTCAGAACAGCCTGCCCCTCCTTCTCCTGCACTCAGAAAGCTCCTAGTCCTAGAAATCCCCAGGAAATCAGGATGTGGGACTTTCCCTGTGTCCTGCTGGCCTTGGATGAGCTGCAGGGACACCTCAGGCCCGGACACGGAGGGGACAGTTGAGCTGTTCAGCTTCCCTCAGACCCAGCTTTGGGAATGTCACCAACAGCCAAATCCTGATCCTGGGGCCCAGGGGGTGCCCTGGATCTGCTCTGGCACTCAATGTCCTTGATTCTGGTCCCCAAGATGTCCCGGGTTTGGAGCAGCCTGTCCCGACAGGGATTAATCACAAACACCTGGGCTAAGGACGAGTTTAAAGGGGCTCAGCTGAGCAGGGATCAGTGAGAGCCAGTGGGGATTCCACAGCCAGGAACACTGTTGTTCCTGCTGGATCAAGACAGAAGGTAAGCCTGGCCCTAAATTTAACCTTAACCCTAAACCTAACCCTTGACTTTGATCCTAAACTTAACCATAAGCCTTATCCTAACCCTAAATCTAAACCTAATCCTAATCCTAACCTTGAATTTGACTCTGATCCTGACCATAATCCTAAACCTGATGCTAAGGTTAATCCTAATCCTGATGCTAAACCTGATGCTGATCTTAACCCTGATCCTGACTCTGATCCTAAACCTAAACCTGACCCTAAACTTAATCTTAACCCTGATCTTAACCCTGACCCTGATAGAGACCCTCACTGTAAACCTGCTCTTTGACTCCAAACTTAACCCTAACCCCAATCCTAATCCCAACCCTGAACCTGACCCTAAGCTTTAACTCTGACCCTAAACTTAACTGCAACCCAGATCTTAACTCTGACCCTGATCCTGCCCCCAATCCTAACCCTAACCCTGCTCCTGACCCTGCTCCTGCCTCTGGCTCACGGTGGGAGCTGGGCAGGGATCTTGGGAGCTGGGCAGGGATACTGGGCATGGATGAAACAGCATCCGAGGGTTTCCCACACGCAGTGGCAGCATCAGGGACGGTCCCACGGGTGACGTGGGACTGGGATGGCACGGCCGCTGCGGGACACCGGCCCTGCCACCCCTCCAAACGCTCCGGGAGCAGGAGTGGGGCAGGAACAGCTCAACTCTGCCTGTCCCGCTCCGGCGGCCGCGGGAGGAGCCCCGGGAGGAGCTCCCGCAGCACCAACCCGGGGCAGGTCCCCCCGGGTGCCCCCTGAACACGCAGACAGCTCCGTGACAGCACTGCAGGAATGAGGACGTGGGCGGATGCGATGGGATGAGCCCCCTCCTCCCCCACCGCTGGATGGGGGCCTGGATTGGGAGCAGAGCCTGCGGCGCCGCCCCGCTCCGGGCACAGCCGCGCCCCAGGCTGTGCCATCCCACCCCTCTGCTCCACCCGGGAGCAGGGCTGATCCCTAGGGATGGCATCGGGAAAGCGGGATGGCAGCCCTTCCCAGCCCCGGGCGCTGCCGGGGGCGGGGGGGGGGGCGGGATCCTGCGCTGCCCTTCTGCTCTCCCCCCGTCCAGGCGGGCCCCGGGATGGGGCTGGAGCCTCGGGAATTCAGCAGAGAACGAC